TTTGGGAATCCAACAAAACCCTCCCAGCTTTGTTCACCCACTTGCCCCAAACTCTCCTGCCAGCAAGGATTTGGTGGAGAAGTAGCCCTTCGGCTCCACTAACCCCAATCAAACAAACTTTCTGCAGACGCAGAAAGTTGACACAAAAATCTTTTCAAATTTTTATATTAACAGAATTGAAAAATCATTCAGAAAAGAGAGGAAGCTACTTACACTGTGCACGGCGCAAATGGCGGGGCTTTGCTGTTCGCTGCCGCGCGGGGAGCAGAAATGTGGAGAAATAGGAGGGCTTCTATGCAAAACCTAGGGAAGAAGGGACCACCACGAGATATTACTACATGTCCCCAGCAGAGGCCCTCCATTTCGTCTCGTCTCATCTCGCTTCTCTCCCTCCCGCGACATCAGCGGCGGCGCAACGGTGGGGTTGGGGTGGGTGGGACGGCATTGCGAGCTCACACCACCTGCGGCGCTGCGATCCCGGGAGGTTGCTGTGCCGCCGTCTATGTAGTGATCTGGGCCGTGATCTCGACGGCTATTCGCGGCTGAGCGGGCGGCGGCGATGAACGGAGCGAGCGCCAGCGCTGGCGTCGGCACCGGCGCCGGCGCTGGCGGGGAGGCGCCTCTGGTGTACAAGGCCTGGAAGGGGAACAATGTGAGCGGAATGCCCCTCTCCTCTCTCTTCCCCTCTACGCCTTTCTTCCTCCCCTAGTTCCTTTGTTGCGGGTGTGGTGTGGATCTGTGCGGCCTTGATGTCGCGAGTCAAATTAACTGTTCCTTTCTTTCTAGGGACCGGCACTAGATTGACTCGTGTCTGCGGTGTGGTAGGCAGATGTTGGGATTCCCTTGCTGAACTTGGCAAATTCGTTTGGTCATTGTTGGCTCCAAAAATAATTGATTGCTCGATTTTCCCCCAAATTTTTTATGATTTTGTACTGGGATTCCGGGAATGTAGGTTCTAGGACGGCTGGACGGGTTAAGTGCCTCTGGTCTTGGTCAGGACAAGAAACCTGAGTTTTAGGACTGGACTAGTGCATTAATTATACTTCGACTGAGTGTCTATTACATCTCAGAATAATTTCACCCTCTGCTTTCTTTTGTGAGTTGTGCATAGACAAAGTTGACAATGGTACCCACCTAGCTTGAGAAGAAATGTTTCCTACGAGATTTTCAAGCTGTTTCTGTCGTGATAGAACTAGAAAGTGTGTTTGACGGTAGTTTGCATGTTTTGCAGGTGTTTTTACTGAAGGGGAGATTCATATTTGGTCCTGATGCAAGATCCTTGTTTGTCACCATTTTCCTTATTCTCGCGCCAGCATCAATCTTCTGTGCATTCGTTGCAAAGGAATTGATGGATAGGTTCTCTTATGGTCTGGGATTGCCGGTCATGATTGCAGCAGTTCTATTCACAGCATATGTGAGTATCGTTCTTATCCTTTTTCAAATCACCACACTCATTTATTTCCTGAGCTGTGCGGTACAGGTACTGTTGCTTAATATATATGCAGTTATTGGAACAGTACGAGTCTTTAACAAAGCTGACAGCTTCAGTTTTTCAAACTATGCTTGTATTCTGAATCTATACTGGTTGTGTCTGGCATGATCGCTTGGTTCAGTTTTATTATAATCAAAATATATGATTAGAAATTGGAAATTTGCAGTTTCACATTTGCCTTTCCAATACATCGCATTCTAACTGGGCAAGTGACTCCCTAGACGATACACTGCTTAAGAACTGTTATTTAATTGCTCCTAACCGTATGGGACTGTGATATTCTGCTTTTATCATGTGTCATGTGTTAAATGGCAAAGTGATCCCTAATTATACAATGTAACTTAGTTCTGGATGTCATCAAAGGGGATTATTCCTTTCGCTTCTGCATTAATTATTTTATTATTCACTATATGCTAATTGTGCAAGCGGCTCACTCCAGATGATATAGTGCCTGTGAACTGTCAAATTTAATTGCTCGTAATGGCATTGAAATGTAATATTCTGCCTTTATTAAGCGTCATGTGTTAATTGAAGTGATTCCTGATTTTATCTAGAAAAGGGGATTATTCGTCCTGTTGTACTACCTTTTTAACTTGCTGTCCACTAGCACCAAGCATATTTTGCTGGTGCTCCTACCCCTATCTTTTAATTTGGTACATAAACAAATTTATCTTTAGTCATGGTCTTGCTGGTAAAGAGAAGAAGATATAGAATGAGCATATCTTCTAACTTGTTTAAGCATTATGCCACCTTTCAGGATCTGAGTCTTCTGCTTCTAACTTCTGGGAGAGATCCGGGGATCATACCTCGCAATGCACATCCTCCAGAACCTGAAGGTTTTGATGGCAATGCAGAGGTTGGGGCTAACCAGACTCCACCTGTGCGTTTGCCCCGAGTGAAGGATGTTGTTGTCAATGGGATCACTGTGAAGACAAAATACTGTGACACTTGCATGTTGTACAGGCCTCCTCGTTGCTCTCATTGCTCTATCTGCAACAACTGTGTGGAGCGTTTTGATCATCACTGCCCATGGGTTGGACAATGCATAGGACTGGTAAGTTTATTAACTAAACACTCGTGACTCAGAAAGCCTGTCTTGCTGTTCATATACAATCTTTTGCCAACACTTTATGTTAAATCTTGCAGCCCCTGTTGTCTCTTCATTTAACGCATCGATTGTACTCCCTCCGTTCCAAATTATAAGTCGTTTTGACTTTTTTGGTTGATCCATTTTGCTAGGTATCTAGACATAATATTATATCTATATGCATAGCAAAATGGATGTACCAAAAAAGTCAAAGCGACTTATAATTTGGAACGGAGGGAGTATTTGCTTGTTCCCCCATGTTACTAAAATGTAGAGCATCTTTTCCTTTTAGAATGCCTAGATTCCTGCTTAAATTTGATGGATTGTAAAAGACTTCAAACACCTTAGAAGATTTCTTATATTTGTGCAGAGGAATTACAGGTTCTTCTATATGTTTGTATTCTCAACAACTCTGCTCTGCCTGGATGTCTTTGGGTTCTGTTGGGTGCTCATTGTTAAGATCAGAAATGCAGAGCAGATAACAATTTGGAAGGCAATGGCAAAGACCCCTGCGTCTATTGCTTTAATCATCTACACATTCATTGCGGTTTGGTTTGTTGGTGGCCTTTCTGTGTTCCATTTGTATCTCATGAGCACAAATCAGGTAAAAACTGATTCCAAGAAGGATGTATTTATATCCTTGCGTGATGAAGTATGTTGTGCCAATTGCTAATCAGTTGCCCTACTGCTTTGTAGACAACATATGAGAACTTCAGGTATCGCTATGATCAACGAGCCAACCCATACAACAGGGGAGTCATAGAAAACATCAAAGAGATCTTCTTTACAACGATCCCTCCTTCCAAGAACAACTTCTGTGGTAGGGTCCAACAGGAGCATGGTCTGAGGCCTCGTCCAACAAATGGTTTCATGAGTCCAAACATGGGGAGAGCTGTTGGCGACATTGAGATGGGTAGAAAACCAGTGGCTTGGGATGAGCCTAGGATGGCAGCTGAGATTGGTGATTTAGGAGCTGGTCTGAGCAACTTGTTGGAGGACAAGGATGGCAGGTTTCGTAGCGCATCTCCAGACCTCAGCCGTGACGCCCTTGCAGTTGGAGGAGGCTTTGAAGAGCAAGGCTCCTCAGCGATGAACCCTGGGCGTTCAAGCTGGGGAGTTGAAGCAGGTCGATGATGGCATTGACCATGTAAGCGGCTGTAGTGAGATGCTCAGGGTTGTTAGTGCCAGTTCGTTGCTAATTTGTTGTTCTGTTTGAGATTTGAGGTCACTAATGTTATTAGACTCATGACCTGTATGGCAGTTGTTTCTGGACTTTCTTTTCTTCTTTCTCTTAATTTGAGATGTCTTTCATGTCTATTGTCTGAAGCAGTTGGTTTGTGACGTCTCCAGTTTGGCACTGTCAGGTTTTGTCTGTATATAATTGGAGCAGTAAGCCTAAAATAGGTTTCAGTTGCTTGGTGGATGGTAATGGTTGTGAACAATGTCGAACCTTTGCATTGCAGTAAATGAACATCGCTCGATCTGAGTGCCGATGTTAAGATTAATTTCTTTGCTTCTTTGGAAATGTTAATTTATCGCCAAGTTATATTGAGTTTTTTTTTTGGCGAATGCTAAGTTATCTTGGGTTAATATGCTATAGTATTGTTCCTGCTCTAAAGTTCCTTGACATGTAGAGTTCATGATGAAGAGTAGGGTGGTACACTTCTGGGGCATATTGCTCTAGTATTCATTTTCAACAGTATAAGGGGGTGTTTGATCCAGCTACTAAAATTTAGGAGGTGTGTCGGAAGGATGTTGCATGGGGTGTTTGGATACTAATAAAAAATAAATTACATAATCCATCAGTACTTTACGAGATGAATTCTTTAAGCCTAATTAATCCGTCATTAGCACATGTTTACGGTAACAAACCATTGTCAAATCATGGACTAATTAGACTCAAAAGATTCGTCTCGCAAATTAGTTGCAAACTATGTAATTAATTTCGTAATTAGTCTATATTTAATACTCCATGTACGTATTCAAACATCCGATGGGACAGCGACTAAAATTTAGGAGCAACCAAACACCCCCTGACACCCCCTGAGTAAAGGTTTTCATCTTGTAGCGGTGAGACAATGCCAACAATCATCTGGAGTTAAAACTCATCTGGGGGTTTGGGCCAACTGGGACATTCACTACCGTGTATATGGTGCAGAAGAAATGAGTCTGCGTACAGACTGGAACAGGTAACAAAACAATAACACCCTGGGCTCATTTGACATATCAACCGAAACAACTTTGGTAAGCTCAATTGACATGGAAAAGTTTCTTCACAGCTCCATCGAGGACAGGCAATTTCCCTGACAAGAAAGGATGTTTCGCCAAATGCTACCACATATGGTATTCTTGTCTACTCCTAACACACTTTATTCCTTTTTATTTTCAGATAAGTAGTTGTATGGTATCTGAATCTGATCATTACAGCTTGGAGAACACAGGCTTCCGCTTCTTCAGGAAGGCTCTGATGGCCTCCTTCAGATCATTCGATCTCATCATACCCGCATTCCATGTGGCTACATGCTCCAGGCCTTGTTCTACAGTCACATCCCTGCTTCTCAGCAAAACCGCCTTGGTTCCCATCACCGCCCATGCCGACTTCTCAGCTATTTCTGAAATTATCACCCAAGTTCAGTCCAAAACTAGTCAAGAATATGACAGATTATGTTCACGCAGGAGTGAGCTGAAGATAATTTGCAGTTTAACCTAGCATATCTATACCTAATACTAAAGAGAAAAAATTTCTGCCACTTTTAAATTTTCGTCCAACTAAGACATCGACTCGGTTACCGTATATGTTTTTCCGTTTTTCCGTTTTCATGTCCGAGTCCTTCTTGTTCACAGTTGGGGCACGCTTATGGTCATCGCACGAAAGCAGAGTCCATGACGGATACTCATGTGCCTCTCCTTGGCCAATCTACATTTAGTATTGAACCCCCACTTTTTCATAACAATTGTAGATTTTTTGGATTTCTATTTTCTGCGTTGCAACACACGGGCGTATATAAGTGACCATGCAATGAACTATGTGTCCCGTACTCCGTTGCAACGCACGGGCATTTTTGCTAGTGAAGTAAAAGAGTACTCATGCACAATTGAACAGACTAACACAAAACCGACAATAGGTACAACACTATGCATTCTCATCATAAAAGGGGAATGAGCACATAATCTATAGGCACAATCTTTGAAAACCCACAAGACCACCACTGCTAGGTGCCTAAGCCACATGGGTGTCCATTGGAGATGGATCTATATGAATTCTAGGAGCATCATACTCAGATGGTGGAAGAACCGTTGTACTCCTACAAGCTAATTAACAGTTATCTTGAACTTGATATATTGGTGGTACAAGGGTTGTCAAAAGGACTGTGACAGTCATTGGAGCTCACTAGAGTAAAGTACTGTTTGTTGCTTTCAGCTCTATTGCAGTAAGCTTTAGTACATCTAATGTTAAACAAGGCAGCGAAGCATGAACAATTGTACTGTATGTAAGAAGGAGAAGACAGATACTGGTAGATGTTAATTACCTTTGGCGATCTTTGCGACGCTGGCATCCAAGTCTTTTTTGGAATCGAAGACCCTGGTAACGAGACCCATCTCCTTGGCCTCCATGGCGGTGATCTTGCGTCCGGTGAGCGCGAGGTCAGCAGCGTTGCCGTAGCCGACGATCCGCGGCAGGCGCTGCAGCGCGCCGAGGTCGGCGACGATGGCCATGTCCACCTCCTTGAGCACGAACGTGGCGTCCCTGGAGCAGCACCTGATGTCGCAGGCCGCCACGACGTCGACGCCGCCGCCGACGCAGGCGCCGTGCACCGCCGCGACGACGGGCTTCCGGCACCGCTCGATGGCCGTGAGCGCCGTCTGCATGTCCAGGACCGCGCGGCGGAGCACCTCCGCGGTGGCCACGGGGTCGCCGGCGCCCGCGGCGGAGGCGGCGGCCAGCGGGTCCCCGGGGCCCCCCAGCTCGATGCCCGCGCAGAAGTGCGGGCCCGCGGCGGACAGCACCACGGCGCGCGCGGTGGGGGTCCGGTCCAGGAGCGACATGGCGCGCGGGATCTCCGCGAAGGCGGCCGGGCTCAGCGCGTTGCGCTGCGCCGGGCGGTTGAGGCGGACCTCGTAGACCCCCGCGGACGGGTCCGTTCGTGTCACGGCCAGGGTCTCGAACCCCGCGCGGAGCTCCGCCTCGGCCGCCGCCGCGTCACGGTCGCCGCTGCCACCGCCGGCCATCCGAGGTGGGTTGCTGTGGCGTGGGGTTCACTACTACCTGCCCTCTCGCGGCTGGTGGTGGTTGCGGGATATGAAGCCGCGGGTGCTTTGTCGCCACGTTCTCCCTTGCTCTGGTCGCTCTTGTTCTTGTTTTGGATCTCGGAAACATCTAAGATAAGCAGCGTCGGATAATCATGGTTTGTATCGCTCTTGGAACGATCATAACAGCGGCGATTATTATTCCACGTGTTTTCAGAGGACGACTTCATGTGTTTCTTGGAGAAGATGCCCTTAATCCCTGATGATCGGCCAGCGGAATGACAGTGAAAGGCTCCGTAACGGATATCACGCAACGTTCACGGTCTAGCCCATTTATATGACCCGCACGACGCACGGGCCCAGCCATTGTACCTCACGCGGCCCAAGCCGCGGCCCTCTTCCTATGCGGCGCAGCAAGCCAGCAACTGGCAATAATTTTGGAAAAAAGTCTACATCCCCTGATGTATACAGCATGATCTACGTAACCCTAAACTATAAAACCAGATATGGTACACATTAAACTTCGCAAAACAGGGCAAATAACCCCATGGCGTGGTTTTGCTAAGTGGTTTTGCGTACGTGGCATTCCACGCTGGCATGTCTCTGATGACGTGGTGTCCAGGCCCATCTATCAGAATCAGCCCACACCACCGTTGCTCCACGCACCTAGACTGGCGGTGCTGCTGTCCCTACCGTGGATGCCCCATGTCCTGGCACTCGCTCGCCACTGCACCGCCGCCGCCAGTCACGCGCACACGTTGCTCATGTCCTCGTCGCTTGCGCTCGTCATCGTCTTCTGCTTGCGCACGCGTTGCTCCTGTCCTCCATCGCCTGCGTCGGCCTCAGAGCCGGCAGTAAGCTTCGGCGGCGACGACGATAGGCCGGGACGGAGCTGCAGGCGCATGGCTTCTACCAGACAGCCACTACCATTCATGTCGTCTACGTGTACTCTCTATCGCATACTGTACGTAGCCTATACGAGGAGGAGGACGTACGACGTACGGCGCATGGCTTTGGTCCACTGGCCAGCTGCTGCCGTTACGAGCGACTACGACGCCGTTTCATCGTAGGCTAACAAGAAGCAAGCTGGTGCAGGGGCTACGTATCCATGAAAAGAAAAGAAGCTAGCTAATGGGTGCATGAACCTAGCTATCACGCGTGTGTACATGATGTACTAGAACGTGCATAAAGGAAACAAGCTAGAGCTTAGGTGATAGGGATACACATCACATGTATGAATATATATACTCTACTACTCTCCAAATACGTCTACTCGGCAGGGTGGGGGGCGTATTAGCGTAGAGTTATGACGCCACAGGGAACCTGTTCTCTTCTGGAAGCTTCAGGGATCAAAGGGAGGCAGCTGCAGCAGGCCCAGGTGCTCCACGAAGCAGTGCCCATGTCTACCTCTAGCTGTGCCAGACCACTAAACTTTGCAATGTGGCGGGGCTCACGCGAGGGCAGCCGGGCCCGACGGCAGCAACAGGAACAGCGTCGTCGCCCCCGGCGTCATTGGCGCTAGGGCAGTCCTTCGGTGGGCTTGACATCACGATACGACAGCCGCACGTCGACATGGGCAAGGCCCTGTGCGCGAGCACTGTCGTCCTCTCCCTTCGACGGACAGAAGCACCACAACGGCGGGGAAGGAGAGAAGAGATGGCCCAACCAGGCTGACAGGCGAGCCCATGTATCACGGTGTCAAATCTTGCCAACATGGACGGCCAAATCAGCAAAACCACCTTTCCAATACCACCCGGGGATTATTTGCTCGGTTTCACAAAGTTTAGTGTGCACAATACTTGGTTTTATAGTTCAGGGGTTACGTAGACTAACCTGGATACGTTAGGGGGTTATATAGATTTTTTCCAATAATTTTGGTGGATGAGATTCTAAAATTCAGATTATGGATAAAACAATCTCAGATGTTTCTTAGATTATGTGCTTGTGTGTTAAAATTCTCTAAATCCGTGTTTGGAAGGGATTCTAGAATTCTGAGATTTTTTTAATCTGGATTCAATAAACTCCCTAGGTATCTAAATGGGACCTTTTTGTGTTTGCCTTTAAACAAGTTGTTATGGAAGTTAAAATTACCACTTAAAATCATGATATTTATTTGGTTCTTGATAAAAGGGGTAATTTTGACCAAAGACAATTAAAAAACAAGAAAATGGAAAGGAGACGATAGATGTTGTTTTTGTGACAATAAGGAAACTATCCAGTATTTGTCGTTTGATTGTCATGTGGCTAGATTTGTTTGGAGAGTCTGCCAAGTGGCTTTTAATCTCGAACCATCAAAAGATGTAACCGACTTATTTAGGTTGTAGGATGTACAAATAGACCTAACACTTGCGCTCTCTGATTTGTATGGGGGCAAGTGCAATCTTATGGTCTATTTGGCTATTTAGAAACGAATGGATTTTTGATAAAAAAAACGACTATACTCTTATTTGCAGGTTGTTTTCAGGGCAACTTATTGGACTCGTTTTTGGAACGCCCTGCAAAAGAAGAACGACAAACCTTTTCTGAAGTGGGCATGTCGCATGATGGAGACTGTAGCTATGGAAATTTTCGCCAAGCATGGATGGTTGTCGCTGAAAAGATTTAGCGTTTAATCAATTTTCTCTTTGTTTGGTTTCGCTTTTTAAGAGCTTAGAAAACAGCAAGAGACTGGATTTGTAATAAGAATTGATTGTGTGCAAAACTCTTGCAGAGACGGAATAAAAATTCATTTTTCTAAAAAATAGTTCAGACCAATGCCAAACAAGACACAGGATGAGGCAGCACCTGAATTCCTGGACGGAATAGGTTTGGAGCAAAGAAAAGCCTTCAAATCATGCTATCAGAGCCTATACTTCTGATCGGAGCTCTCAAAGTATCAGACCTCTACTTTTGTTTTTTTTTCTATCTTCGGTCAAATGGTTCAACGATTCAAATTCAAAAGACACATCACACGCAATAGATTTAAGCTCAATACCAATTGCAAAATGAAAGTAATAGTTCACAACTGTACTATTGCCTTAATCGAAAACAGTAGTTAATCGTGTCCAACCCAAATACCTCAGTCAAAACAAGAATTAAACATCAATGCACATGCTAGTGTCCTTAGAGCATATCAAATTTCATCATTTTTTGTCTTCTAAAAAAAAAATTATCATTTTTTTGACAAATAATCATCATAAACATGTGCTCAATTTCAAATTTCATCAAATTTTTATCTAATCACATCGGGAGGACTGGAGGGGTTGGCAGCAGCATATTCATGCTAGCCTTACCTCCCTGCTCATTGAGGATAAGCGGTGGGTGGCAGCACATGCTTGCCTTCTCGAAGAAGAAAGCAACGGGGAGGGGGTGAAGTGGTCAGTGGAGGCTGGTGCGAGGTGGAGGTCACACTTAGGAGTCGCGTGGGGGAGGACCCTGCGTTGGGGGAGGATGACATACTTGGGAGGATGTTGTGCCTAGGACTAGGAGGAGCCGCATGGGAAGGCATGTGGGGCGAGGACGGTGTGGGGAGAGGCGCGGTAGGGCGGACAGGCAAGGGCAGGCGTGGGGGTGGATGCGCGGGAGGGTTTTAGCGTCAAGGAAGGAGGAAAATGGGAGAACCCCTAGGATGAGGGCCTAAACTAGAGCCGGTGGGGAATGAAGTGGAGATACTTATTAGCAGTCTTGGTTTGGTGGTCAAAGCTTTAGACAGTAGACGAAGTTGTGTTCTCGTCCCTTATGCTGATTCAAGTCCATGTCGACATTATGTAACAAGCCGCTAAAGGGGGAATTACTAAATATGCAATTTGAAGATTTTGAATCTCTTCCTTTTTCTACATTTTTTTTTTGTTTTTGTTTGGTACGTCGGAGCTTCTATGTCTTGGCCAGATGTTCCATTGGTGAGACAAGGGACAAATGACATCTCTTTATAATAATTGCGGTATGATAGATCTTCATTAGAATACGTATGAAGCAGAAAGCTCTTCGTTATGCAAGGGTCAGCTTGGTTCATCTGTGAGCTATAGTAAAAATATTATGAGCTATGAAAAAAATGTTATAAGTTATGTGTTGTAAAAATATAAGTTATTTGGCTGAAACAACTATGATACCTACTCTCTTTCTATTGCTCTTGAAATAGCTGTGAGACGTCTCTCTATTTGTACCTATTAGAAAAGTAGAAAGCTGAAAACCAAAAGCAGGGTCCAACGGGCAGCAAATAGATACACTACACTGGAAAAACAGCTTCCAACTTCACTGGTTTGGTTAGAGTTGTTTTTTTTGCAATAGAAGAATTTGTTAGAAGCTGAACCGGACACAAACTAAGAAAAAAATGTGCTCATCGCTTAGATTTAATTCGGCAGTGAACTACAGGAAGGCAACATAAAAGAGATTTGAGGGCACTGAGAAAACAAACATTCAAACTGTGGGTTTATGGAATGTTAGAATAAGATAGGGATTGAGGGGAAATTCTAAGGAGTTCTAATGAAGTTTCCACAAAATCTTTATGTTTATGCAGAAATGGCGAATCCTATTGAAAGAACAAGATGTTGGATATATGGATAATAAAATCCGAAGAATGAAAACCTTGCTGTTGATTTTTTGGAAGAAAACTGAAGACCTTGAAGTTGAAAGATTTCTCTAGGGCCCGTTTGGATCATTGGAATTGAATTCATTCTAATAATTACAATTTAGACATAGATTAATTAAGCTAATATAGTTGTATATGGAATATATTTGTATATTTATTGTTAGTCATACAAGGGACATACTTATATGTTGTATTTCTATTGTAGGAAAGTGAGTTGAAGAGTGCGCTACAAATTGGAGAATAGAATTATAACATAGTGATCTATAGAAACAATTTACATCTTCCACCATATGAATTTGAGATAGGTTTATTTATGAGCTTGAAAATGTTATGGAATGTCAAATTCTAAGCCAAATAGGCTAATTCATTATGTGGATTTCAATACCTCTTAAAATAAAGGGATCCAAACAGCCCT